CGTGCCGCTCGCATCCGGTTTAGACACAGTGTTGCCTTCCTCTCTTCTAACCCATAATAGAGCGCATGTCCCGTGGCACCTAAGCGTTGCGCATGCCTTAAGATCCCGCAGTCTGTTTACACTCCGGTTGATGCCCGTGACCATACAGAAAACGCTGCTACTCATGCCTGCCCCAGATGACACTTCACCAGTCAGATCTAGACGCAGCTGTCACAGAACACGCCACAGACAAAGTGACATAACTTGATATTAAAATCACGGGCATCAATCACGGTGCCACGGAACACAAGCTATGTTACGGATTAAAAGAGAGGAATAAAATTTTATGTAAGGTGGTAAATAAGTGTAGAATTTGCTTACGTGCATCACTCGGCGTGCAGAGTGAGATGTGCGACGCACCTGCAACGCTTACACCATGTCTACACCGGACGCGAGCGGCGTGGCAAAATACAATAGAACCTATTATGCTGTCTACACTGGATGTGGCGCGGCAAATTCCCGACAGTAAACTGCTGCTGTGTTCTATTTATGACGCAAATTTCAAATGATTTTCAATGGTCGCTTTGTCGCGTCCAGTGTAGACAGGCTTTAGCTGTTGCGGCGCGGCGCAACAACAACTGTCGTGTCCGGTGTAGAACCAGTGTTAGGTGCTCGGAGACACGCAATCGATTATAGGAGAAGAATAAAGTATGGTAGCAAATGGGTAAAAGTGCAGAATTGCACTGTCTGCTTATGTGCATCAATCGGAGTGTAAAACAGTGAGAGATGTTGAGGCAAATGAAAAGCGTTTGGTTAATGGGGAATATTGACCTATTGTGCGTCTTGTTGCCGAGCCCCGCCTTGATATAATGATTGACAGGTTGGGGGCGTGATCGGCTCGGAATGCATTTTCAAATCCACATTGACTTAAAACTACATTATCGCAGGGTATTTCATGAAAATGCAATTGAACGTCTTAAGTGTAAGTGTCAATGCATTTAAGAAAAATAAATGACATTTAAATCACCATTTTTGCAACCATTTCGCTGCACATTTGACTCAGAATGCATTTTGAAATTCACACTGCATTTTGCTACAATTATCACGCGGTATCACGATGAAAATGCAATCCCAAGTGTCCTACCCGTAAGTCTAAATGAATTTAAGAAAAATGGCATTTAAATTATAATTTTGCTACAGTTTTTGCTTGGATATGTTAAACATATCTAAACAATTTGGGTAATACAATTTCATTTTAATTTTGCAACTTAAAGCGTTAAAATGTTTTTAATTTACATATTAAAACTAGTGTAGAAAATGGCAAATGTAAATTATATAATTGAATTTTCATTTTGCACTAAATGTTGCACATATGTATGGGAAAATTTAA